TCTATTATTATTATTATTATTATTATTATTATTATTATTGATTTTTAGAGAGAAGAATAGAGGGAGGAGAGGAAAAAAACACATTGATTTGTTCATTCATTCATTCATTCATTCATTCAATTGTTGATTCTTGTATGTTCCCTGACCGGGGATTGAACCTGCAACCTTGGTGTACCAGGACAATGCTCTAACTGAGTTACCTGGCCAGGGCTCAAATGAGCCTTCTACTGGAAAGATGCACAACCAGTTGGCACCCTATGCAGATATCTTTGTACTCAAACAGTAAAGAGGGGGAACCATGTTGCAATGATGGCAGTGCCCTAAGCACAGGTGCTGCCCTACTTGGTAGGGGCAGTAACAAAGCAGGACCATGACTAGAACAGCTCAGGAATGCTGAGCCCTGATTCCCTTCCTCCCACACAGAACCTAGTGGGAACACTTCTGCTGTTAAGCATAACCTCGCTAGATTGGGGCTAGGTCATTAACAAGACATCACCTGAAGACCAGTGACATCTCTGACCAGTTTCTAAAGATGAGTTGTTTTTCTCTTCATATAAGTTGTCTTGCTCTATGGGGCAAGTTATGCCTTACAACATAAAAACTGTCCTTTGTAAATATCACAATCCAGCTATCATGACAATATGTATACCTTTCCACATATGCCTTGAAGAATGTATAACTCAAATAACAATTCTTTTATGGCAGGAGCATTCTGGTTTAGAAAATTGAGGATAAAGTGAATATGTCATTATGTGATATTGCTATGTGGTTACCCAATTGCCATTAACTAGTCATCGTAAAAGATCCCCGACTGCTCTCTCAACAGAGAGGTGTGGGGAGAGCATTCTGCGTCAGCAGCAATGATTCCGGCAGCCCCTGCCAGGGCCCAGCTAAGACAGGGACAGCTGCGCACGCATCAGACAGCACGGGGCGCTCTCCCAGCCTGTCCTTGCAGGGGCCACTCCTGCGTCTCACTGTTTGCTGTTGGCTGCACAGACCGTATTGTCAATCTGAGATGAGCTAGGAGTTCCAGGAGAGGAGTCCCAGACATGAAGCAGGAGGCAAGGCTTCCCCTTCCCTGCCCGCCACCTGTCCCGCTGCAGGCCTTCTCTTCTTCCACTGGGCTGTCAGCCCACTGGGATGTGCCCCGCGCGGCTGGCTCTGCACCTGGCAGCGCCTTGGTGGACGCTGATGGCGTGGGACGCACCTGAGCCCTTTGGGTCTCGACACTGGGCACCCTGGGTTTGTGCCTATGGCTCTGCTCGCCTAGGGGATTCTTTGGTGTGTCAAAGCAGAACTGTCTGCCCGGAGGATGGAGCACAGTGCGCTCATGCAAGTTAGAAGAGACCGTCTTTATTTCTAAAGCAGCACCTGATCATCTCACACACGCGACCTGGGAAAGAGGGGCTAACATTTGCATACACTTCAAGCTGGTTAATGACACAGGGACTAGGGCACAAGAAGAGGCAAGGCCATCCTTCACACTCAAAATCTGAAGTACACAGGCCCTGGCACTCGGGCTCTAAGGATGTGGGTGTCCCTGCCGAGGCAGTAACCCCCATGCGCTGAGCAGGGAGAACTCTAGCACCAGGGCCTGGCATCTGCATCCTTGGAAAGGGCATCACGTGGAGAGGAAGCCGCTTCGTGGGGCCCCACTTTCCGAGTGCCGCTCTGCGGAGGCAGCTCCTGCGTGGTACCCAGGCAGGAAGCTGGGATGTGAGACCCACTCAGGAGGCGGCAAGTGAATTCAGACAGCGATCGAAGGCTGCGTACCCGTAACAACAAAAAACTCAAGTTGTGCTTTTCTTCTTTTTAAATATAATGGGCAGGGAGGGGAAAATGGAAGCACCATCAATTGTGAGAAAAAGAACAAAATATTAGAGTTAAACACTTTGGAATGTTAAGAGATTATGAAGGTAACTCTAAAGAGTGTGGCTAGGCAGCTTAGTGAATTAATTGCTTATGAATTAAAAATAAATTATTATAAAATATATTTCTGTACATTTTACATACATATAATCTCTCTCAATATATAAGCCAAGTGGTAAGCGACGCGGGCCGGGTGCCTTCAATCCCAGCCGAAGTCGTGCCCGGTCATCTGGTAGAACTTGCGGTTGAAGGGCCGGTAGAACTCGCGCAGCCTCCGCACCACCTCCGGGTCGATGTCGGGGTGGGTCCGGCCCTTGGTCTTGCCCAGGCAGTGGGGCTTGCTGCTGCCCTCGGCCTTCTTCAGGCAGGGGAAGCCCTTGGTCTTGTTGAAGTAGAAGTGCTTGTCGGTGATGATCCTCTTGAGGCCCAGGAAGTCCTGCACGCGGCCCAGCTCGCCGGCCGGGTCGCTGATGAGCCGCTCGCCGCTCACGAAGAGCATCTGGCTGAGCGGGAAGTGGCGCAGCCAGTGCTCCAGGTGCTTGGCGTAGATGCCGATCTGGATGGCGCTCCACGATGTGTCGATGAGGCCCGTGCTCCTGTTTTTGAACGTCAAGCTCTCGAAGGTGGGGATGTCCGGCCGCTTGGACAGCGTCTGCGTGTAGTCCGAGATGGCCCTGGTCACCGGGTCGCGCACCACCACGATGAGCTTGGTGTCCTTGGACATGGCCGAGATGCGCGCGGGGGCCTCCCGGGTGACGAAGTAGCTGGGCGTCTTCTCCATGGTGATCTGCCCGTCCAGGGTTCTGGGCATCAGGTCCCTGAGGAAAGAGAACAGACCAAAGGCAGGTCAGAAGGTGAACCTCTTTGGCCTCACCTCTCAATGTCTTCTAACCCCGTCTCCTCCTCATTGGGAACAGCTGTAGAAATACGAAAAAATTGCAAGCAGAATTTTTGAGCTGAAAGACACATTACTGTCCCACCTGAAGTTTGAAGGCCAGACACTATGTACTGAAAGACACCTTCTAGGACAGTGGTTCTCAACCTTCTGGCCCTTTAAATACAGTTCCTCATGTTGTGACCCAACCATAAAATTATTTTCATTGCTACTTCATAACTGTAATGTTGCTACTGTTATGAATCCTAATGTAAATATCTGATATGCAGGATGGTCTTAGGCGACCCCTGTAAAAGGGTCGTTCGACCACCAAAGGGGTCGCGACCCACAGGTTGAGAACCTCTGTTCTAGAAGGTGGGCAGTAAGATACCCATCTCTCTAAGGTCCCCTCCTGCTGTCACCTCTCCCTCATTTCCCAGGGTACCCTGCTTCTACCCGGTCCCAAATTCTGATCTCAGAACCAAGTGCCTCTGGATCTGTGCCTTTCCTAAATAGTAGCACCTGGGGTCCCATGATTCCTCTGCCCACAGCCCTCACTGGCCCTCCTCCAGGGGCTCACCAAGCCTGGGCCAATGAGCTGCGGGGACATGTCCCCCTAGCCCGCCAGGCTGCACCGGCTTCATCACAGGAACCAGACAAAACCCCTTTCCCCGAAATGTATCCCTGAAGGCAGCTAGGCACAGCAGCCAAAACACTGGGTGCAATCAGCAGAAGCATAAACTGTGCAAACTTGCCAAGAAATTCCAAAAACACTATAGATTCCATTTTTTAAACAGGGACTTGTGTGATATCTAAGTGCAGCACTAATTTAAGCAAAAGTGTGTAGACAAATTTTTACAACCTGCAATAGATGCAGGCCATGACAATTGGACCAAAATCCAGCTTCACGGTAGCAATTAGCACTAAAAAAAGCAAGACTTAATGATGGAAGACTGTATTTTATTTGCTCTCTGAGCCTCAGCTTCCTAATATGTGAAATGGGAATGATTCCACCTACTTTATTCAGTGGTTATGAGATTTATAAAACCAAAGCAGTTTGGCTTCACAATTAAGGAATGCGGGCTTGGCAATCAGACGCCTGGGTTCAAATCCCAGCCCTGTCACTTATAAGCTGTGTTACCTTGAACAACTTACTCAACCGTTCTGGGCTTCTTTTCCTCATCTGTAAAAATGAAGATGCTAGCTAATGCCTTAATGCCTACCTCAGATGAGTTTAATTAAAATTAAAACAATTAATGATCATAATATGTTTTGAACATGCCTGACATATGGTATATACTTGATATATAATCATCATAATAGTTTTCAACACACAATTTCTTGCACATGATAGGAGCAAAGTTGAGCATGTGGGTGAACAGGCTCATCCAAAGGAGATGTGTTAACTAAGTGGGTACTCAGTTTTGGTCACAAATGTACAATTTTCCATTAGCTATGAGATAGAGATTTCTTTTTAAGCAACAATAAAAAAATCTTTATTGTTGAAAATATTACATATGTCCTCTTTTTTCCCCATTGATTGATTCCTATCTGAGCCCAGGAATTTTTTAAAAAAGACAATTTCCACATCATTTTTAAGCAAATATTTACCTCTCAGCAGGACATTCTAAATTTCCAGCTTCAAGCCACTCCTAATCTACTGAGACCCAACTCCGATATTACACACATTTATGGAAATCACGGTATAAACTCACTCTCACTGCCAGCTAGGGGACTCCCTGGCGAGTGCTCCCTCCTCCCCACCCACCCCCAGCAGAGGAGGTGCTAGCCCTGGAGCTCTGCCTGCCGAGCAGCCCTGGCTTTAGCTTAAGCTGATTGACCCACTTTGCCCATTAATCACTTAGATTAATGCAGCCACGTCAGCAGCTAATGTGATGGAGGATTAAAGAGAATCCGACTCTCAACTTACTTAGCATTTCACTCCAAAGCGGGCGATTCAGATAAAGTCCAAGTTTTTCGCCATGTTAAGCCTCTGCAACTGGACAGTCTACAAGAGGCTAATATTCAGAATTAAAGTGCTACCACCTCCTTGAAGGAAACCTAACCCCCAAAGTTGTTCAGAGCCATGCCAGGGGTCGGGGGGTTGGGGGCGGGGTTGGGTCTGTCCTCAGAGAGTCCATCTGACCCAGCGTGAGCTTCTGAAGCCAGGCCACTGGTTGGACCCTCAGCATCCCCTGATTCAGGTGTGTGGCCCTGCACAGGTCATAGGTCATTCACCTGTCCATACCTCAGCTTCCTCATCGGAAATATGAGAAACACGATAGTTTCCGCCACTTAGTGTTTTCAAGACGACTGTGAGCCTAACCTTGGTACCAGGCCTGGTAGCTAGGTGGTGCTAGAAAATGTACTCAGTGGTCTCCTGTTGGCAGGATCTGGGCAAGGAAGTAAGGAGGCAAGGTTCACGCACGGGTCCCTCACGCGGTCCATCCTCACCGACGGGCAATGGGGAGGCTCGGCTCCCGCAGAGGCAAAGATGTGGGACAGCGGGCTCTGCCCTCAGCCGGCCCGGGCTCCAGAACAACCACAGAACCTTCACCGCCTGCGTTCCCGCAGCGTCATGGAAAAGCCTGGCAGGTGTGCACACAACGGCTACCTGGGCAGCTGGGAATAAAAACCACACCAAAGGATTGGTGCAAAGGACACGGGAGAGCCTCCCTGGCCGCCAGTCCAAAGGCAAAGCCTCCTCAGCCATAAACCAGCCTCTCTGAGCCGTGGGCCGACCACCTGTGCCTGACTGTCTGCAGCCACCCAAGCCATCCTGGGTCCCAGCTCCATGGGACCCCTCTCCCCAGGAGGGTCTGCATTTGTCCACATAGATCCGAAAGCTCAGGGACCCTCAGGGCTTTCCTTCATCATCACACTAACAGCCAGGGAACCACGGCTGTGCCACCAGCTTCTCAGCCTGGTCCACCCGAGGCCCCACTGTCTGCCCCCTCAGCATGCTTGGTGGCAGCCAACGAGTGGCTGATGGGCGAGATGCACAACTAGGTTCCCATCATTTCTGCAAACGCCTCCCGTGCCCCCCTGCTGGCTTCCCGGACGCTTCCAGGCAGGTGAGGGGAACAGAGATGCCACCCCAAAATGTGTCTTTGGCACGAGGATCAGTTGAGGCTGGTTGTGTGTAAGACACAGCAGACACGGAGAAGCTCTGAAAACCAAGTAGAAGTTGTCATTTCGTAGGAGACATTTACATTTACAAGGGAAATGTCCATTAGTGAGGGTGTCCTCTCTGTAGCAGGAAGAAGACTCGAGTAAATCTGTAGAAATCCCCTAAATGGAGAAGGCAGGACTGCAACCTGCAGAGCAACCTTAGCCTTGTTTCTTGTTTTTCCCCCTCACCTCCGTCACTGACTGCCCCTCCCCAACATCTTCTGTCTTTAGCTGGAGAGGGTATTTAACTTGGTGGTTTAGGCCATTTGGGGGGATTTGCTCAGTGTACAGCAGTTATACATGTTAATAAGTGTTCCTGGGACTCTCCCATGTGTGCAGCAGGTATACATGTTAATAAGTGTTCCTGGGACTCTCCCATGTGTGCAGCAGGTATACATGTTAATAAGTGTTCCTGGGTCTCTCCCATGTGTGCAGCAGGTATACATGTTAATAAGTGTTCCTGGGTCTCTCCCATGTGTGCAGCAGGTATACATGTTAATAAGTGTTCCTGGGTCTCTCCCATGTGTGCAGCAGGTATACATGTTAATAAGTGTTCCTGGGTCTCTCCCATGTATGCAGCAGGTATACATGTTAATAAGTGTTCCTGGGTCTCTCCCATGTGTGCAGCAGGTATACATGTTAATAAGTGTTCCTGGGTCTCTCCCATGTATGCAGCAGATATACATGTTAATAAGTGTTGCTGGGACTCTCCCATGTGTGCAGCAGGTATACATGTTAATAAGTGTTGCAGAGTCTCACCCATGTGTGCAGGAAGTATAGATGTTAATAAGCTTCTGTTTGTTTTTCTCCTGTTAATCTGTCTTTTCTTAGAAAGGATCTCAGCCAAGAGCTCAGAAGGGTGGAGGGGAATTATTTCTCCTCCTCTACACAGGTGCTGGGCTCCCACGGAGCTGATGTCTCAGCCCCCCTCAACCTTCCCCCCCGCCCCACCGGGGAACACGGAGCAGACTGAGCAGTGTGGGGACTGCTCCTGGCACAGAACCTGCGGACCATCTCCGCAAGCCCCCTTCTCCCCGCAGCCGCTCTTCTCCCACCACCCATCTTTTGGTCCTGGAGCAAACTCCTTTTTACTCGCTTCCCTTTCCCCTCCTTTCACTGGCCTCACTCGCCTGCCCTCAGACTCAAAGCTGCTCTGAGCACAAGAGTGACTCAGAGAAGAAGCCTGAGGCCATGGCCAAGGGTGAGCCCATCACGTGGGCCCTCACACGCCCATCCCAGCAGCGGTCCAGCCCCAGAGAAGCCTCCCGAGCGAGCCAGCAGGGAGGTTGCAGGTTAATTGAGCTGCTCGTTATGAAAGCCAATTTCTCAAACTGATAGCCATACCTAGTAATTAGCTAGTGCTTGGAGCTCACAGAGGACTTTTCACACGTTATCTGATTTAACCGTGCACAACAAGCCTTTGAGGTGGGTACTGCAGTCCCCAACTTGCTCCTGAAGAAACTGAGGCTAAAGAAGAGAGAGTGACTTGCTTAGAGGGGGGGTCACTGGCCTGTGCGGCAGGAGCTGGGACCTAGCGTCAGCTCATGGGAGGCGTCCCCTTCCTTTTGCCACGACCCTGACCCTCTCCTCTCAACCTCCTGTGTTTTTCTTCTTAATATGATGAGGAGCACACAGCACCACACACCTGTCCTCCCTTTAAATACCTATTTTTTTCTCTTGTTCATAGATTAGGATCTTAATAATAGGTGTTTCAGTGCTAGAATCAGATGACTGCAATCATAATTGTTCAGAAATGAGCCAGACTTTGGAACAACAGACCTCTGAGGTTCATGTACTCCTGCGTTCTGTGGGGCCTGGACTCTCAGCAGTCATTGCCCAGCCCCTCCCCCCACACCCCTGCCCGGCCTCCTCCCTCGTTACCAGGTGGGACACCTCTCTGGCACCTGGCACACAGGACCACTGGGTGCTTGTGAAGCTGAGCGGGCTGCACAGTGTCTCTAGTGCTCCCCACAAGATGCTAGGCAGCGATGCAGGTGACACCCAGGACGGAGAGCAGAGGGGCTCCCCCTGCTTCAGGAAGACCTATGGGTGAACAGGCTGGTCCTCCCGCCTGGGCCTGGGGATGACAAGCCCAGGGAACATCCAGGAACACTGGATCTCAGAGCCTAGGAGCTGAGAACCATGAGGGTTGACAGGGGTGTGCAGGTGGTCAGTGTGTTCCAGGATCTTCACGGGAAAGTGACGGGCCCTCTGTGGCAGCCAGTCTCACCCCTGCTTGCACCCAGAATCTCAGAGCATTTGAACTAGATGCCTGGCCCCAGACCACCTGAGTCAGGCCCATGTGGCGAGGCCCCACACAGATTCTCTGAGAGGATGACGCGCAGCAGGGGGTGAAGTCAGTATTCTGCGGTATCTGCCCTGTCCTTTGGTCCTTTATTCCGCTGATACCCATGGCCACTCAGAGGAGACACCATCACGGGGGGTGGGGGAATCGAGAAAACAATATTGTGAATGAAATTTAATGTTGTTCAGCTAATCCAAGACTTACTGAGTCAAAGGACTAGAGTTAAATCTAGAGAGTGAAGGTCATACTCTCTCAGCTGACAGCGGACCAGGTCCCAGAGGGAGTGAGGGGATGCCTGGTCGGTGGGCCACAAACTGCAGAGGACAAATAGCCAGAACAAGCTGAATGCAGGCACCACACACACACACACACACACACACACACACACACAGATAGTGATCAAATCAAATGGAGGTACCAGCAAAACACAGGGGGCAAACTGAAGGAACCTGAAGG